AGGTAAGCAACAGAAAGTACTGACCAGCCTCAGTAAGAGTACAAGTAAGTAAGCCACATTTCCTTTAAAAAAAATCTGTAAATCTGATGAAATGGAACAGCAGTGACTTGTAGCTGAACAGAATAAAATCCTAGCAGGAGAGAAAGAGATGACTTGCAGTTCTACTTTTTTGAAAGGGAAGTATACCCAGAATCCCATTACTGTACTTGCTCCATGCTCATCCCTGCAGGAGGTAGAGGGACTTTGGCAGGTACTGTATTTCTCACGGGACACTGAGGATGCTTTCTTTGAAGTTTTCTTTCCTATGTTTGAAGAGTTCAACAAATAGCATTTCCTAGGCATCATCCAAGAACGCTGAACTCTAAGAGCAGCGAGTATCCCAACAGACATCTCCTAAAAAAGGATGAAAAGTTATATTTGCAAACTTGTTACATTTGTCTGTTTTTATTAAAGTGGCTAAGGTGTGTGAAAGTTGTGCTTGTTTTTTAATTCCCACAAAAGGGTTACAGTTCACTGTTTGTTTTAGGAAAAGCACACCTTTGAGATTATATAGTTTAAATAAAAATTAGGAATAAAGTCATTTCTGAAGTTTATGCACATAATTATTTCTACCTTTTAGCCTTTAACAAGACATATAAGGCCAACAAAATATTATGAATTTAGTTAGTTTGTTCTGGCCACAGCCAGCCCATATATTCCCTTAAGGCTCTATTTACAACAGGGCTTTTCAAATCGCGGGCAGAATCATAAAAACATGCTGGGAAAGTGTGAAAATGCGCAATCGTGTGTTCAGGGGCCATTCATTTCAATGGCACCTGAAAACGGGGCATTTTTGTTGCAATCACAAACAAAATCGTGGGACATGCAATGCCAAAAATAGGTTCCAGAACCTTGGGAACCCCCAGGTTTGCGCATTTGCACCGCAATCGTGACAAAACGCCCTGTGTTTTCAGGTGCTATTGAAATGAATGGCACCTGAACACGCGATCACATGTTTTCACACACTTTCACAGCATGTTTTCAAATCGCAGGCAGAATTGCGGCGATTTTGCCCACAATTTAAAAAGCCCTAGTGTTAATGGAGCCTAAAAAATATTTTTGTAATGCTTGTAGTAACGCTTAGATTCTGGTGCCAGCATAAGGCTGCTTAGGCAGCCGACTTAATGTGCCAGGATGAGGGGAGGGGTGGTAAAATCCAAATCCCCAGCCACTTGATGAGAACTCTGATTTTAAAAATACCTGCTGATCCCTAACACTGCACTCCCTCTGCTACCAGGCACATGGAAGTTTTAGTTTGCCTCACCTGCTACCTGCCAGTGAGGGGAAGTTGGAAATGCATTATACCGCCTCCTTATTACACACTGTCATTTAGTGGCAGTTCAGCACAGCCCAATTTTCAGTGCTGAGTGACTTTCTTTACACTGCATCCCATCACATTACAGGCACAACATGAAGGAGGTAGCAGAGCAGCTGTAGACAGTGAGAGGATGTGCTGGAGGGGAGGGGGTGGTAGGAGGATGGTGGGTGGGGGGGTGGTGGGGGGTGGGGGCAAAATGCACCTTTGCTTGTGTAGACAAAAATTCTTGTCCAGCTTAGACGTAGGGAAAACAATCAATACAATTTAGCATCGGTAGAAGGTATTTTTCCAGAATGATGGAAACTTTGCGCTTCATGAGAGAAAGCTGTCTAGAAAATTTATACATGGCAGATGGCTGAGTTTCTGGGAACTAGCAAGCATTATATAAAATGGTTTTCTGTCTTTGTGAAAGTCCATGGCCCTTATTTAATCAGGCAGAGAATGGTGTGAAAAGTTCAGCAACTTATAGCAACTAATCAGCAATCATCTTTTATTGTTCTCCCAGTTTTGCATTGACAAAGCCTGATTAGTTGCTATGGGTTACTGTACACCCTTGTTCTTTTCACTGAGTTAGAATCAATATATAGTGCTCTGCAACTCCTGTTAGAGAAGGCCAATACTGGAGATTTCATTGTATCTGAGAAAAAAAAATCAGTTAATAGCTAGGAAAAAAATATGACCATTAACTGGCTTTAGAACAGCTACATACACTGCTGAGAGAAATATATGTGAATTGTTTTACTGCCAAAATATTTGTAATTCTGATATGTTGCATAACTATAATAGTAATCCCATTATTTCTTATAAAAAATAAAATAAAATCTGTGCTTATGTCCAAAAAGAATATATTAAAGATGTGACTATATATGCACATTACCAGTTAACCCTCTATATAGCATCACTCAGACATACTTATTGCTAAGGCTATCTATACATGATTTTTTTGATCAACCAGAGGACTGATCAAAAAATAAAACAAATGGATTCACCCATCCACACAAGCGAGGTGGACAGAGGAAGACTCCCTGCTGAGTTATTGTAATCTGACAGCAGGTACTGTGCTTTTAGAATACACTGATCAGTGCTGCAGCTGATTGGGTGCAATTGCTATCACATGAAAGTTTTCCAACAGTCCACTTCTGACAAGCAAAAACAGCTGTAGATGGATCAAAATTCATCCAGTTCCTCCTCAACCAGCTGAATTTTGATCCATCTTAGGCCAGCTTAACTCTATAAAATAGAGGTTTTTTATTATTATTATTTAGGTATGGGTATTTTTACATAGCTACATTTGTCAAGCTTGGTCCAAGGTTAGTGGTTAGTGTGCATGTCAAATCACTGTAGTTAGCACTGCTAATACAGGGATCAGCCCAGCTCCCAGGTTCTATGCCAAGCAGCTGGCAAACAGGTATATGTTCATTTACATCTGCCTGCTCATAGACCTGTAGTGAGTCAGTTAAAGTGGAACTTTAGTAAGAAAAATTAAGTCCTGCTAGATTACTGTATTCTTGGCACTGTGCTGACAATCAGTGAGTCACTAGAGGCTGATCATCTGACAGCCTAAATATTTACTGCTTGTGATAGAGGGAAAAAGCAGGAATGACAAACTGTGCTGAGAAGAACAGATCAGGGAGGGAGAAAAGAAACACAGGAGAGGTGACAGGACAAACTCTGCTGCCAGGAAGACACAGTGGGGTTGATTTACTAAAGGCAAATGAAGTGCACTGAAAGTGCTGTTGCTCTAGATCTGAGGGGAACATGCATGGGAAATAAAAAAAAAAAAATTTTTGTTTGCACATGAATGGATGAAAGCAATAAGCAGAGCTTTCACCTTATTTCAGAGCTTCCCCTTGGATATAAAGCAATTGCACTTACAGTGCACAGTATATTTACCTTTAGTAAATCAACCCCAAATAGTTAAATTTACTAGGATAGTGTCTTATGTTCCTGATATTCTCTCCTCTCTCCTTCATTAGCAGCCTCTGAACTTCAGCATTGTAAAGCTTCTGTCAGCCTACCTCTCTAGCTGAGCCAATACACACAGTCAAGGTTGGAAGTTCACATTTTAATTGCAGAGAGTGATATATAGTTTTTGAGAATATAGAGAGGGAAAGAGTTTCCAATAAGGAAGTAACTGCTTTGGGCTTCAAAAAAACAGAAGCAATGCTGTTGGCAATTTACAGCACACATCAATTTTGATAGCATAATTATTAATATAGAATGTATTTTCTTTTGTTAAAGAACATGACCAGGTGACTAAAGATGGCTTGTAAGTCCCACTCAAACAATACTTACCCCCCATCCTTAACCTAAGTAACCACACTGACAACTAATGGAGTTAATGGCCTTCAAAACCGGCCGTTAATTATAATCATCAATAAATAACATTCTAAATAACAAAAACACACAGTATAAACATATGTTCCTGCAATGTCCCAATAGACGTCAACAAAAATGAATACCTGCGTACTGCTTAACTAGGACTCCAGCTGCAACATCACCAACTCGGAGACACCACCGCAGATACCCCCTTCAGCACAACTGGAAGCTGTACCTCAGATGGGTTCCTACAAAAGTGCCTTTTCTTGTGCCCACCTTAACCAACAAGGACCTTGCACCCCCCAAACGTCCCCCAGAACCAATATGGCACAACCACCACCCAGACAGACCATAAAACAATGGGCTGGCGGGAGGGAAGTTTGCCCTGTGAAAATTCTCTCCAGACTGAAAAAAAAACGTGCCACACCCTGTAAGACCACCCCTCGTAGCTCCTCCCCACTCCTTCCCTAACTATTTGACTCCCTTATGCTAATGGTACTCTGCCTCTCCCAACCCCCTTTAACCCCTGTCATGCCGGCCCTTCGTTCAGGTGTCTTATTTGTTCTTACTCCGGGCCTTCCTTTAATTATTATCAAACTGCGATGAATAAAATTTTGCTTTAAGCTCAGACAAGTAAAAATTGAACAAACATGGATGTCACCAAAGTGAGTTTTATATATCCCATAAAAGTCCTCACTGTGATGCCTAACAAGGTTTAACCACTAGCCTACAGGGCACTTATACCCCCTTCCTGCCCAGGCCAAATTCCAGCTTTCAGTGCTGTTACACTTTGAATGACAGTTGCACGGTCATGCAACATTGTACCCATATGAAATTGTTATCATTTTTTTGTGACAGATAGAGCTTTATTTTGGTGGTATTTAATCATCTCTGGGGTTTTTTATTTTTTCTTAAACCAAAAACCACTGAAAATTTTGAAAAAAAAAAACCCAAAACGTTTTTTCTTAGTTTTTGTTATAAAAGTTTGTAAATAGGTGATTTTTCTCCTTCACTGATGTGCGCTAATGAGGCTGCAGTGATGGGCACTGATAGGCTGCATTGACGGACACTAATAGGTGGCACTGATGGGCACTGATGAGGAGACACTGGTAGGTGGCACTGATGGGCATTGACAGGCATCACTGATGGGCACTGAAAGGCAGCACTGATATATGTAACTGATAGGTGGCACTGATAGGTGGTGGCACTGCTACTTGGCACTGACTGGCACTGTTAGGTGGCACTGATAGGCAGCACTGACGGGCACTGATAGGTGGCACTGATGCACACTGATAGGTGTCACTGACTGGCACTGATAGGTGGTACTGACTGTCACTGATAGGTGGCACTGATTGGCAGCACTGATAGGTGGCAATGACTGGCATTGATAGGTGGCACTGATAGGTGGCACTAAAAGGCAGTTCAGCTGGGCACTGACATGTGGCATTGATGAGCACTGAAATCTGGCACTGATGGGCACTGGCAGGTGGCATGGATGAGCACTGAGAGCTGGCACTGATGGATACTGACAGGTGGCACTGCTGGGGCTACACATATTATCAGGGCACACTGATCATCAGTGCTCTGATGATCAGTGTCAATGTCCCCTCTGAGGAATGCTGATTACCGGCTCTCCTCTCCTCAGCGTGACAGCTTGTGGGGACAGAAATGTCGATAACCGGCATTTCCCAGTTTACATGTGATCAGTTGTGATTGGACACAGCTGATCACATGACCAAGCCAACATCTCCAGCTCTTTCCGTGGATCGGTGATCCGCTGTGTCCAAAGGGACACAGCGCACCACCAATGCCGCACTGTGCGCTTCAGGAGCCACGCATGCGCGGTTAGAATGGGAGGATGTTATATGACGTCCTCCAAGAACGAGAGAACTGCCTTGTGCCCATCATTGGACTATATGGCGGGCGGGAGGCGGTTAAATTACAAGAAACAACATTTGAAAGTAATGTAAAGTAACGGATGTCTATCACAGTCCAGCATAAAGCCTCATATACACATACCGGAATGCAGCTGGTTCATGTGTGATCCTTTCTTTTCAACTTGCTGGATAAATAGAAAACAAACTGTACATGTATACCAAGCTTAAAGTGGAGCTTTAGTCAGAAAATTAGGTCCTGCTAGATCACTTCAGGCTGGCCCCTTTTGCAGGTATAGCTAGATAAAACATTAAAAATAAGTGTATATATTGTTTAAAATCCAGTAATACACTGTCTCACCCTGTTCTGCACATGCTCAGTTGCTCTTGTCACTGTGCCTAAAATGTAGAGGTCGATCTGCTGGCAGCGTAAAGATTTACTGCTGTTCAGAGGCTTTGGGCTTCAACAAAATGGCAGCCTCCGGCAAGAAGAAGCTGGAGCAATGCTGGAGGCAATGTAAAGTACACACTGATTTTTATTGCATTAATTAGTTATGTAGACTGTATGTTCCTTGCTAAAGTACATTATTTTTTTATCAAGTTGCTATGGGTAAAGTTCCACTTTAAGTTATCCTTATAGTAGCAATAGTGTAAAATGGCAGGTGACACTGAAAAAGTTATAAACTCATTATAATCCTGTACTCCCAAACAGGTCTGAGCTGGGAAAGAAAGGAGAATCTTCACTGTAGACAAAGTTTGCCAGATAACTTAAAGAAACAAAAAGCACATCAAAAGTAATTTGCTATGATGTTTAACATAGACTGTTTACATCCATGGCCACACATGCCACTTTATACTATAACTCAGTTTGATAGGGATTCACTACATAAACACCCAAAACCTCATAACATAATGATGTAGACAAAACAAAAAGTGATACCCAAGTGAATCCAAATGGTACATCCAGGTTTACCACAACATTCACAAGTCCAGTAGCAGCAGCTTCCAAGCAGATGCCTGACAACATAATGCCTTCTCGCCGCCTGTCAAATGCCTTTGAAAAGCGATCCAACCATGGATAATTTTTCAGAAGCCCAACAGTCCTTGCAACTAGTGTAAACAAGCTCTAACAGGTAAAGACTTAAGAGAGAGGTAACATTTTAATGTGAAATAAATAAATGTATGCATAGGGAGTGGAACAGAGAGAGTTACAGGATAGACTGTGTCCTGTAGTCTACACTTGCAGTGTTTTAAAAGGGATAAAATGCAAAGAAATGTGCATTAATTGGACCAATATATCAAATATGTTTGGGGGTTTTTTTGCTTGTTTGTTTTTGTGTGCCCTGATATTCACTTTAAAAACTGCAACTACTTAAAAATCCTTGATAGCATTATAATTTAATCCCAGCCCTGTCACTGTCATATTTGCTGGACAGCTTGGTCTGCATTTAATTTTGTGGAAATAAAGACTTAAAGGCCTGTGAAATAAAATATGAATTCATATACTGGTCATTATCAGCACATGTATTAACCACAATTATCATTTTACACTTTTATCATCATGATAATGGCATTTCTATCAGTGAGGGGGCATTGCAGGCTTGAAACCTGGGGCATCTGCCAGGAGACTAAGGGTATGTACCCGTATTCTCAGTAATGTTGGGAACATCTTTATATATTTATATAGTGGCTGTTCACAACATTGTTTTTTTGTAACCTTTGCCACAGCCTCCAAATTGCCCTTTAAAAGGATGTTAATGGGGCAGGTGGAAGCAGATTTCCTATCATATGATCATTGTGATTGGCTATGGAATCAATAATAGCTATGCCATTCCAAACTTGTCTGTTTCCCTGTACCTCCAGCTCCCATCAAGTGCATGCTTAGGAGCGCACCCCTGCTCAGCTGCTCCATATGTCAAATAGAAATGAATGGTATATGTATTACCGCTGCTCAAGGTAGAGAGACTCCCAATATCCAAGTACAACTCCTCCTGTAGGTGCTAGCCCAGCTTGTGTGCTGCATAGATGAGAACAAAGGATGTCCGATCTGCTGCACTCCAAACAATCCACTTTATTGAAACAATCTAAAACCACTACAGACAGTGGGGGACTGGCAGGTAACCGTGTTCCATGCTAAAGACAGCGCTTATTCATTACCCAGTGGACCCATGTACAAAGTGTTGGTTTTAAGCACCAGCAACAGCTGTTCCTCCTAATCAACACTGGGTCCACCTCCTGCTACACCAAACCGATTTAAAGGTAAAGACAGTTCTGCAAATAACAATTTTAACATCCCCAAAGTGCAATGCATAAAATTCAATGCACCAACCACAGGATATGTGCAAGAATTCCCATTTCGCACAATGGAGATGGTAAAAATAAAAATGAAAATAAAGTTGTAAAGAATGTATGGGAAGAAGAAACAAAAAATAACATACCATGACGAAAACACCACATCATGTATAAATGTATGTATATTGGATCCATCCCAAATAAGAAGATATACAAATTATAAAAATAGATATGTCTCAGATCAATGACAAAGTCTCTGTCCTATTCTCACCATCCCAGATATAATAAAGACCAAAAAGGCTAATAAGGCGATGGAACAGCAGAGATACAGAAAATAATAAAAAAAGATCAACACCAAATAAACGCATGTAGTGAAATAAACGCATGTATTCAAAAAGCTGGTAAAACATAATCACATCAGAGAGGGAGGGGGCCATGGCTGGGCAAGGAAGTCACTCATAAAAATGGGTAAGATCACATTCAAAATTCAAACCATTAGGAAGACATGTACGCAAATAAAAAATCCAAAAGACTTTACGTTTGCACAGCAATCTAAAGCTAAACCTCCACCCCTAGGAGACCTGTCCACCCTCTCAATGCCCTATAGGCTCAAAGCTCTAAAGTCACCTTCATAAGCACTGTTAAAATGATTAGCGACATTGGTAGTATGATTCTTTTTTATTTCATAAACATGATCATGGAGGCGATCTCGTAGCCTCCTAGTTGTTCTACCAACATATTGTACTTGGCAACTTCAACAAGTGATCAAATATATTAGATGCTTAGTATCACAGTTGATAAAGTTCTTGATCCTGTAAACCTTGCCACTAACCGTCGATCTAAATTCCTCCCCTTTCTTAATACAAGAGACAGCAGTCTATACCACACCTATAGTTACCCTTAAAACTCAGCCATGTTCTACAGGAGAAATAGCAAGAGGACAGAGTATTGACCAAAAGTCGGTGCACGTCGGGAAACAATTTTAGTACCTTGGGACAATATTTGCTCAAATATGTCATCACTCAGAAGTATGGGAAGATAGCGCTCAATGATCCTTTTAATCCTCCCAAGCTGAAAAGCAGTGGAGAAAACTGGTGGTCCTTGCCTGGAACTACACCTCTCCTTTGTTATTAATAAGTTGCTCCTGTTAGTATTGTTAGCTATACCCACAGCACGATCTATCATGGGCACCGGATAACCTCTCTGTAAAAAGCGATCCCTCATGTGTCACCTCTCTATTGAAATCTTCATCCTTATTGCAAATCCTACAAATCCTATGCAATCGTAGGAACTGTCCCACAGGAATCCCTCTAACTGTGTGTTTGGGATGTCCTGAGTCAGCTCTTAGAATGCTATGCCTGATAAAGGTTTCCTATACAAACTGGTGACAATTGCACCCTCACAATCCCTCAGTGTGACATCCAAGAAATTAATGCTGTGATCTCTCATCTGCCCAGTGAAGCTGAGGTTAAGTTCATTGTCGTTGAGATACGTCAAAAAACCTTAAAAATCTCCAAACTCACTGGAACAAATTAAGATCGAATCATCTATGTAGCGCCTGAAGCGGGTTGTCAGGTCCATATATCTTCACCCTCTCCCACTAACCAATGTAGAGGTTGGTGAGAAAGGGCAAAAACCTGGCATCCATCACTGCACCACATTGTTGGAGGTAAAAAACACCATCAAAAGAAAAGTAGTTGTGTGATAATAGGTATTCAAGACATTCCAAAATGAATTCCCTCTGTAAGCGGGAATATAGTCCACACAAATCTAAAAAGAAGGAAACAGCCCTAAGCCCCAAAGTATGAGGATGGATGAATATAGGCTCGCCACATCACATGTGACCTACCTATCTCCATCCCTACATTTAACCTCCCGACAGAATAGAATAGAAAAAATAGTTGATATCGCAAAGGTAGCTGTGGAGTCATACCACTATAGGTTGTAGTTGGAAATCCAACCATTGTCCAACCCTTTCGTTCAGGTGCTTAAAACCAACACTTTGTACTTGGGTCGACTGAGTAATGAATAAACGTCTTTAGCGTGAAACGCGTTTACCTGCCAGTCCCCCACTGTATTTCCACTGCCTGTATTGGTTTTATCTTGGTTCAATAAAGTGGATTGTTTGGAGCGCAGCCGATCGGACGTCCTTTGTTCTCATAGAAATTAATGGGTTGCACTCTGATGCTGTCACTGATGTAAAACCAGCTTTAATATAATATGTAGTGAATTCACAGCATATAGTCTTGTCTGTTCGTTTCCCACACTAATGCGTTTCACCCCACAAAGGGTTTAATCATGGAGACCATGATATGTTGTGAATTGTTTGCTTATAGTAAAGCTGGCTTTACACTGGTGATGGCATCTGCGTGTAGCCCATTCATTTTTATTTGACAAGTGCTGTAATTGGCTATCACAGAGATCACATGATTGTGAACCCCTCCTGATAGCTCCCAATCAAAACCGGTGACCAGTAGCTGTAAGTGACAGCTCAGTCAGTGTGCGGCTCATTGGATACTTTCTCAGCACAGAAACTTGGAGTCTCATGCACCCATGCAGTGCTGTACAGTGGCTGGATGTTAAGACCCAACCACCCTGCCTTCGAAT